GCATCACGAAGTAGGAGCTGTATCCAGTCAGCGTCTCCTAGAGACTGACAGAGTTGGCCTCCCCAGCCAGGTAAGAGTTGGCAGCTCGACGCATCTTGGATGATCTCCACGACAGCATCGTCACCTTGCTGGTCAGACCGGCAGCAAGTTGGGGGCCGGCCACACCAACGGCCCAGGCACAGTGCATGGGTGAGTCCGTTCCTACCCCGGCCGCGTCACTCAGAGTGAATCTCACTACTTGAGAAAGGTCGCGCCACCAGATGGCCAAGTATTGCGAGGCGGTGTCTCGCAGCATCTGAACAGCACGGTTGAAAACAACGATGTCCTCCACGACAGCCTGCCCCAGCTTGCCGGCAAGGATCGACGCCGTGCCCGCCACCTCTGGACGGGTCTCCTTCGCCACCCAGTTGATCCGGTAGATGCCTGACCTGAGCTGCTCGAACTCGGAGCGATTCAGGGCCTCCTGTCTCTTGGAGCGGCGGCCCTTCTCCAGGACACTCGGGTGAATCTCCTCCAGCATGTACTTCTCCTGATCAACTCGGATGCGGCGGGCCTCCTTTCGGATGCGTCGCCCGGCAAACTCAGCCTCGCCCCCTCGCCACTTGCCGAACGTGAAGGTGGCCTTCAGAAAGTCGGCCAGCCACTTCGCGTGAGAGGTCACCGTTCCCAGCCAGAGATCGCCCACTTCTATCAGGACCTGCCCCTTCAAGGAGCCCTGCTCCCGAAGGGCCCAGCAACAGGGTTCGAGAAGTAACTTCTTGAAGCCGAGGTCCCGGAGGTATGAGGTGATCGCGGCACGCCATTCCCATGGAGCGTCGTCCAGACCGCAGACTGCAACGCGTAGCTCGATCAGGCACCCGTCAGCAACGTGGATGCCAGAGAGCCCCTTCACAAGGAGCCACGTAGATAGGTCCGCCCGCTCGGCGGAGTCGTCTCGACTGACTGAATGCGTTCTTGCAGTCCACGGTACTCTGATTCATGCCGTGACCCAAGAGCACGAGCCCGAAGAGCATCATGGCCTCTGACTGACGTGTCGGAGAGTACGTCACTACTTGTTCCGTGTCTGGGTCGGCGAACCCGTGGACAAACCACCTACTCTTCGCCTTCGGGGCGCTGAAGGCGCCCTCCTGCGCCTTCCACCGGCGGACCATCCTTGACGACAGCACGCGCTCAGGTCGGGTGCGAAGCACGTGAGTGGACTCCTCCTTGCTAAGAATCCGCAGCACGTTCGGCTTGTTGAGCACGCTCCACTCGGCCTCGTCCGATCGCCGGAACTCCTCGAGCTCCTGGGCTGAGAGATCTTCGATCTTGACCTCTCCGCCGCGCGAAGACAACAGCGAACACTGCCCATCACAGTCCTCGGAGTGCTCGAAGATCAAGTCCTTCCGGCCGTTCATGTAGGTCTCGATGTCCCCGCCCCAGCCCGAGTCTTCGAACCAGGAGTCCAGCACCTCACAGTAGCCCTCGAGAGCGCTGAAGTCGGTCTCGTCCATCCGGAGACCCTAAGCTGCTCGTCCGTCGGCGCTCCTCCAATTGCTGATCGAAGCGCGTCGGGATCCAGTCTGGCACGTTTGAGCTCTGGGTCGTCCTCAGACAACGAAGGGGGTCTCGATGAAGCCCGAGAGCCTCCGGCTGCGGCCACCGCCAGATCCGGCCACCGAGCCAGCAGGAGTAGAGCTGTCCTGAGATACGGGAGGCGTCGGCTCAGCTGCGGGCCCCCTCTGAGGCCCGGTCGAGATGACACCCGAGCTGACCTGTCCGAGAGCCCTTGCTGGCTCTGCTGGAACTGGGATTGACTCCTCGCGCTCCGGCACTGGTATCAGGCGAGCCACTGGCCCTGGGGCCCAGACGAGTCGGGGTCTCGGCCTCGAGCTGGCTGTCCGAGCTGAGAGCTGCAGTCCAGGAGGTGGAGCTGCAGGCCCAACCGCTGCTTGAGCCGCAAGTCCTGCGATTGCTGGAGTCGGAGCTGGAGCTGGGCAGGCGCTGGAGACGGGAGCTGGAGCAGGAGCCCCTGAGGCCTCGATGCTGCCGGCGCCCATGTCGGAGTCCCGGGAGCCCCCTTGGTGACCAGAAACCTCGTTGGAGCCAGTGGGGGCAAGAGACACGGGGGACGCGAGTCCCTCGGAGCTGATGGGAGCCGCCGTGGCCTCTGGTGGCGGTGGTCCCTCTTGAGCAACATCTAGAGCCCCTCCCGAGATTCCCTTTGCTAGCTGCTCGTCCAAGACACCCCTGTAGCACGTAGTTTGCACGAGCTCGGCCCCCAGAGACTCTGACTGCGTAGCAGGTCGCATCTGTTCGCAGCTGCATTTCCACAAGCGACTACGCACACACCCACACTGTTGCACCGTGATGCTAGACTACTGCACCTGGCCCGACCCACCTGCCCCTCTGCAAACCGCATGGTTTGCGCCCTGTCTCGGGCGCACGCCTCCAGATGTACACCCAATCCCCTGGTCGGCGGGTCCTGTCTCGATGCCAAGCTGATCCCAACGCATGCTGCAACTTCCCCCTCGCATCTCTTTCCATCGCGAGCTGTCGAGCTCGAGACCGGATCTCATGCCGGTGTCGGAAGGCCGCGGCTGCACTGTCGAGGTCGGCGCTTGGTTCCTCAAGGTCGTGAAGCCCCATATGGTCTAGGGGGTCCTCGCTGAGCAACTGCTGGGGCACTCTGGGGTTCTGCCCGAAGACGAGCTGTAGAGGCGAGTACCCGCCTCGATTCAGAGATCGGTTCCGCCAGGCAGCCAGCTCACAGGCCGCCAGTTCTAGGTCGTCGGGCCCCTCTCCAGGATGGCATCGCCCACGAACCTCTGGAGCCGTTCCTTCAACCATTGACCCGCCCGCTCTGTCTTCCCATTTTGCCAGGGGCTGTCTGCGTCGGCGGCGTGTTGGAACGCCCCTCGTTGTTCTAAGTGTCTGCTGAACTCGGCCTCGAACCCACCGCCGCCGTCGGATATTAGGACCTCTGGAGGCCCGTAGCGTCGGATCCAACTCCGAGAGAAGGCCGCCCATACAGCAGCTGGCTGAGAGCACCTCCCGGGCCCCACGAGCCCCACCCACTGTAGAGACGTTCCCGAGCACACAGCACTCAGAAACGTGTACTCCCGACGCTGATAGGTCACAAAGAAGAGATCCACTCCGATCAACTTGTTGAATGAGAACGTTCTGGCAACTGCTGCTCTCCGCTGAAGGATCGACTTGCCAGCACTCTCACAAGACTGGCACACGAAATGACGTTGAATATAGCGCAGAATCTCTGGTCGGGCGCGGGCGCATCTGAGAATGCGAAGCAGGTCTCTCTTTGTGGGATGGCCTAGATTGATGTGGGCCTTCTCCACCTGTCGATTCTGTTCCTGGGTCAACGGGCAGTCCTGCTGCTGCTGATCCCCCCCCTCCCCCTCGTCCTCTGAGCTGTCCTGCTCGCGGCCCTCCGCAGGAGACTGAGTCGGTGATTCTCGTCGACGTGGCGCCAGCACACCGCTTGGATAGCTCTCGTCGACGCCCTGCTGCTGAGACTCGGCGGATCGGTGGACCGCATGGGCGATGGCCTTACAGAACTTGATGGGATAGCATGCTGCACGTCGTGGCAGACCACCCCCCTCCAGCACCAAGTGTCGATGGCCCCCGACACACCGCTTTCCCAAGAGAGCCTTGTGTACTTCACAGTCGTTGGAGGCCACAGCGGTTGGTTTCCTAGAAATAGTGCCAGGCCTAACGGAGAGCCCAAACCTGCACATGTCGAAAGTGGTCCTGGTCACGGGAGCCCCAGAAGCCTCTGAGTACTGGGAAGGGCCCATGAGGTCGCAGTAGTGGGTTGCCCCAGGCAAACCCGCGGCCACCTTTGATTTGAAGCTCGATTATCCCCATGGCGCACGACCACAAGTCTAGAGCCTCTCCTCGTGCCCTGGCCATGTTGGCTGGCTCACGTCGCTCATCGCTGACAGCGTTGATGGAGGCAAACTCGGTGCAAGGTGGGCTGAGAAATACCAGCCACGGGCGCCACTTCTGGATAAACTTCTTACCTAGCCCCCTGTGATCTGTCCGTCGGAAGCCCCAGCCCGCAGTTAGATCTAAGCTACCGCCCGTGGGGGAGCCTCTGGAGCCCAGTTGGGAGGAGACCGCTGCGACACAGGGAGCCGAGAAAACCTCCACGAACTCGCATCCCCAAGAGTCGGGGCCAGAACCTTTGCCGAGACCTCGGAGACCCTGACGTAGACGACGCATATCCCTCTGGTCGACCTGGAACTTGCGAGAGCAGTTGTCTAGGCCTGCTAGATTGGCTAACGTGTCGTCGGAGTCGCGCGACAGGATAGTAGACAGATAGCTCTGGAAGGGGGGTGACGTAGCATGACCCCTCGCCCGCAAACCCGTTATCAATATTGTGGGGGCCACCCTAGGAGGTAGAGGCGGAGGTACTGACCCGGAGTCGGTAGCGCCCCTCATCAGACTCACACTGCCAGATGGATGCTGATGAGGAGTTGTGACGGGAGGGGAAAGAAGTAGAACTGCCCTCGTCTTCCTCCAGCAACTCCTGGTCGACCCGGCAGCACCGGTCGTTAGCTCTGGCCAGCCCCAGGGCGGCGCTGGCCTCCCTGAGCGAACTGCGAGAGGCAGGAATTTGAAGCCAGCACTCCTGACGAGGCCCGTCGCCTAGCAGCCGCAGCACGCCACTCTCTCTCTCTCTCTCTCTCTCTCTCTCTCTCTCTCTCTCTCTCTCTCTCTCTCTCTCTCTCTCTCTCTCTCTCTCTCTCTCTCTCTCTCTCCCTCTCTCTCTCTCTCTCTCTCTCTCTCTCTCTCTCTCTCTCTCTCTCTCTCTCTCTCTCTCTCTCTCTCTCTCTCTCTCTCTCTCTCTCTCTCAGTCTCTCTCTCTCTTTCTCATCGTCTCTCACTCTCTCAAGCAGTCCTTCAGTCGGAGACCGCCGGAACATCCCCCACATGGTGAACCCGAGTTTGGGGGCGGCCCCGCCCCGGCTGCTGATGGCGGTGGTCCGATCGGCGGGCTCCGACGAGCTGGAGGCCGCACTTGCACCGGTTGCAAAATCTGCTCTGAAGATTCACATGCTGCATCGTGGCCGCCATGTGGGAGAGCGTCGCCGACTGCTCGCGCAGTGCCACCGTCATCGGCCCCGTGGAGGCCGTCATCGCCTCGGCCACTGCTGCCGAGAGACCTCGCACCATCTCCATCGCCCAAGGCGGTGGAGGCTCCTGGTTGAAGCTGGACCAGGCGTTCTCGTCGGTCGGCGCCGATGCCGCACGGCGACGCTGAGCTGGAGCTGGACTCCTGCATCGCCGACCTCAGGGGTTTGACGTCGCGCGGGGGCCGCTCGGAGGCCGTCATCTGCCCGTGGCCGCCCCCGCGGAACCCGACCTCCTGGTAGGAAGACCTCGCCTTGCACTTGCGACGCTGCTCCCAGCGCCCGCGCTGGTTGCGGGAGGTCTCGAACCACCTGGGACGATGGGCGCACGGCGTCCAGGGCACCGCCCCGTCGGCCAGGGGTTCCTTCATCGGTGCAGCCTGGAGTCCTCCACGATCCTCCGACGCAGCTCCTTTCCTGGGAAAAGGCCCCCCGCGCTTGCCCTGCGCGTAGAACTTGCCCACGAGATTCTGCACCCACATCATCCAGGCGTGCAGCAGCCGGATCCACTGAGCCCCGACCCGCTCGGAGATGCTCGAGTCCGGGGGGCCCCGCATCGTCGTGAGGCGGATCTCGCTGTGGGACTGGAGTCTGCGCCTGGATCGAAGTTTGAGCCGAAGCAGCTGCTGGGTCGGAGCTGCATGAAGTCGCGGTGGGAGGAAGGCGTCGTGAGACACGGACATGCTAGTTTTAGTAGGCCTCTGAGCTGCTGACTCTGCGGGGATGAGGCTCTGACAGCGCTGCCGCCCTACCCTCGAGTGCCTGACGGCCTGGAGCGATCCTGCCAAGAAAGGGTTTCCTTCGAGTTATCCGGGGTTCGGAAGAGCGGACGGGCCCGAGGAACTGCTGCAAGGCCCGCGGGCTGGGGAGAAGAGCGTGCTCAGCCAGCTCCGCCCCAGTGCCGATGTAGATCCCCCGGTGGTTCTTCCCGATCCGGCGGAGCTCAGCCCCGCAGTCCAACTTCTTCAGGGGAAGAAGACCATTCTCGTAGTCCAGCGCCGCGCCGAACCGCTCGAGAAACCCACCTGGTAGGAGAGGAGGCAGGTCCTCCTCCACGACCACGAACTCGATGGTCCCGCTTCTGCCACTGATGGATATCGGCACCACTGCGACCCCGACCAGCGTTGCTGCGCCGCCGATGCCACGAGGTGCCTGTACGTTCTTCTCGACCCAGTTGATCTGCATGCCTCGCTGCTGCAGGTCGCCCTCGAGCCCCTTTCAGTGCCCGGCGGCCGACGATCGCCTGAGAGGCGCCGCTGTCTACGATGATCAGGCCGCTCTCCAGGACCAGCATGGAGGCCCCCGTCAGATCAGTCTCCTGGCCAGTGATCCCCTTGAGGCTCGTCGAGACCTCCCTGCCCAGGACCGTGATGCCACTGACGTGGTAGTCCTGGTGGTCATTCTCCTCGATGACGGCAAACGTGAAGGCCTCAACTGCGGGTCCTCCGGGCCGAGGTCGGCCTCTGCCATCTCCTTTCTCACGGGGACGATGAGGGCTCTTGCACCCCTTGTGCCAGTGCCCCACCTCGCAACAGTTGCCGCACTTCGTGCTCAGCTTCAGCTGGGACGGGGTGAGCCTACTCCCCGATCACGCTTGAGGGCCGTCTTCAGCTGCTGGTTATCCTTCCACGTCTTCTTGGTCTTTCCAATCCGCGCCAGAGTCTCGACCACCTCCGGCTCCACGAGACCCTTCTCGGAGATCTCGACCAGCACCATGGCCTCGTCGTCTGAGTCGAGCTCGTCGGCCCAGCATGACCACTCTTAGATCGGCTCCTCGCGGGTCGAGGACTCTCCTGGATGAGGGTCGGGAGGAGGCGTCAGCTCCTCCGGCTCGATACTCAAAAGTGATGACTGCTTGCCGTCGCTCCAGACCTTCCCTCCGGTGTCGAGCTTCGGCAGTGCCCAGAGGATGTCCTCACCTCTCATGGAGCCCTTCGTCAAACTCTTCAGGTTCTGCCTGCCCTGCTCACTGAGACGAGCACCCTGCATCAGCACCATGCCCTGTGTCTTCTCCGGAATCTCCATCCCGATGCTCTTTGCCTTGTCGAACTGTCGCTTCCGTCTCTCAGCGAAAGTGTGCAGGTCCTCATCCTTATTCCGCTCGGTGTCCTGCATGGCCTCGCTGCCCGTCCGGAAGAGTTCGTCGTCCTCACGCTCGCCTGACTTGAAGCCCATTCTCTGCAGTATGAGCTCCACCGTCAGCTCGTTGTCTGGAATATCCTCGAGGAGCGATCGGATGTCCCAGGGCAGGACCTCTAGAAGTCTGTCGGCCGCCTGTACCTCGCCCAGGTGCAAGCTGCCCTTCCATCTCCTCACGCACTGTTTCCATAGTCGGAACTTCTCCCAGCCTGGCCAGGAAGGGGCTGGCCGGGGCTGGGCCCACGGGCCCTGCCACCAGCTGTGATTGCCCTGCCACGAGCCGCTCTGATCCCAGGATCTGCTCTTCCCCTCGCCATCTGAATCCCAAGACTGTCGATGCCAGGATCCGTCTCTCTCCATGCCTTCCACGAATCGGTCGTCCTCATGGATGGCGGGGTGTACTTGTCGTCTGCACTCGCGAGCTTGGTGGCTGACTCTGCCCACTCCGTGTTCGTCTTCCACTCTTCTCGCCATGGGCCACAGGTCTGTCCAGTCGTCGACCATACTCCAGCCTGCTTCGTGGGTTGGTGCTGCACTGGGACCTGGACCCGCGAGACCCTGGAGGTTCGGTGAGTCCTCTGGTGGCGCTGAGGCCGGAGAGGCCCCATTGCCAAGCCGTATCATCTGAACCACTTTTCCCGCGATCTTGGTCATGTCTGCTTCTGATAGCCCATCTCCGCCGCCTGCTGAGGCGGCTGCGCTCGAGTGACTCATCACCCGTGCTCAGTCCTTGCACCTTCGTTGCTCGCCCTCGCCCTGCCGTAGATCGGTAGACCGTCCTCCAGCGCACCCGCCCAGGGCCTCGCCAGAAGTCGTCTGAAGAACCACGCTCCGCCTACCACTGTAGGCACTCTGGGTTCAGGCGGCCATCGCAAGAGAAACTGAATAGGATGATTTTGCACTCCGTGCACACAAATCCCTTGAGCCAACGTGTCACGCATGAGCATGTACAACAGACAAGACACACAATGCAGAGAGCAAAGACGTAGGCAGGATAGTCAGGACGGGAACGAGAGGGGGCAATATGAAAGGGCCGTGAAGATCGAGCGCGTTGCGCCCCCGCACCCGCTACATCGCTTCGTGGCCCCATACCCCCCCCCCCCCCCCCCCCCCCGGAACTCCACTGAAGGCCCAGTGGCGCAGCCCGCATGCGTCTGCCACACCAGCACAAGGTTTCGTGGCCACAATAATAGCTCCACCGAAGGCCCCAGTGCACAGCCCGCATGCGTCTCCCACACCCAGCACAGCGCCTCGTGGCCTCTAAAGGGAGCTTTCCACCGAAGGTCCCAGTGGCGCAGTCCGCATGCGTCTCCGCACCCAGCACAGCGTTTCGTAGGGAGCTCCACCGAAGGATCCAGTGGCGCAGCCCGCGTGCGTTCCCCCTACCCAGTACGGCGTTTCGTGGCCCCACAGGGAGCTCCACCGAAGGCCCCAGTGGCGCCACACGCAGTACAACGCGTCGTGGTCCCAGTGGGAGCTCCACCGAAGGTCCCACTGGCGCAGTCCGCATGCGGTTGCCCCACCCATTACAGCGCTCCGTGGCCCCATAAGGAGCTCGACCGAAGGTCCCAGTGGCGCAGCACGCATGCGTCTGCCCCACCCCGTACAGCGCTTCGTGCCCCATAAGGAACTCCACCGGATATCCCAATGTCGCAGCCCGCATGAGTCTCCCACCCCCAGTGCAGCGTTTCGTGGCACCGTTGGGAACTCTACCAAATGTTCGAATGGCGTACCCCGCATGCGCCCTCCCACCCAGCACACCGCTCCGTGGCCCCAGAGGGAGGGAGCCCCACCGAAGGTCCCAGTGGCGCAGCCCGCGTGCGTCAGCCACACCCAGTACAAGGTTTCGCAGTCCCACAGGGAGCTCCACCGATGGTCCCAATGGCGCAGTCCGCATACGTTTCCCCCACCCAATACAACGTTTCGCGGCACCGTAAGGAAGTCCACCGAAGGTCCCAGTGGCGCAGCCCGCATGCGTTTCCCCCAACCAGTACAACGTTTCGTGGTCACGTGGGAAACTCCACCGACGGCCCCAGGGTCGCAGCCCGCATGCGCATCCCCCACCCAGAGCAGCGTTTCGTGGCGTCATAGGGAGCCCCACCGAAGGTTCCAATGGCGCAGCCCGCATGTGCCTCCCCCGCAAAATACAAAGTGCCGTGGGCCCATAGGGAACTCTACCGAAGGTCCCAGTGGCGCAGCCCGCATGCGTCTCCCCCGCCCAGTACAGCGTTTCGTGGTCCTGAAATTGGTTTCCACCGAAATCGATACCTACAACCGCTGTGTTCACAACTACCGGTAGGAACACCCTACGGGTGATAAGGATGTCGGGGGGGAAGGGGGAGGCGGTGGATTTGCGATGGCTCTTGGTTCGTTGGTGGTTTCGTCAACTGTCCTATTGTCGCACGCGTCGACCCATCGATCGGTCGACCTATCGACCGAATTATTTGTTCCGGAAAACTAAATACAGCACCCCGAAGTGGCGGATAAGAGTGAGGGGGCGGCGAAGACGTCGTCAGTCTGCCAGGCTCTAACAAAGTCCGCCGCAGGCGCCTAGTTTTTTCTGTGTATGCAGTGAGCCCGCCGCAGACGCCGATTTTCTCGTTAAAGCCATGAAGGTAGATCGCGGGGTGGGTCGCGGGGTGGGTCGCGGGTGGGTCGCGGGCTGGGTCGCGGGCTGGGTCGCGGGTGGGTCGCGGGTGGGTCGCGGGTGGGTCGCGGGTGGGTCGCGGGGTGGGTCGCAGGGTGAGTCGCGGGGTGGGTCGCGGGGTGGGTCGCGGGGTGGGTCGCGGGGTGGGTCGCGGGTGGGTCGCGGGCTGGGTCGCGGGTGGGTCACGGGGTGGGTCGCGGGGTGGGTCGCGGGTGGGTCGCGGGTGGGTCGCGAGCGGGTCGCAAGGAGGGTCGCAAGGGGGACGACGACAACAACAACAATCAGTATAAGACTGTTCGCTCTTACTTGCCCGTGTGCCATTCAAAACGAAGTCCCCACACTCTCGATACCCGCCATTGTCTTCGATCACGCCCCCTTTGGGGGGATTCTTCCTATTTGCGGGGGGCGGCGGGCTTAGACATGCGGGCAAACCTGAACGGGCGGACAATCCTTCGTGGGCGTACATGTGCCCGCCATTGGAATTGGCGTGGGCCTTGCAAAAAAAAGGAAGGGGAAAACGAGGGGGAGTGGGAGGAAGGGAGGAAGAGGGACGAAGGAAGAGGGAAAACGCGAGGAGAGAAAGAGCGAAGAGGGGGGCGGTTGATTAGAGGCAGAGAGAAAGAGAGAGAGAGAGAGAAGAGAAAGAGAGAGAGAGAGAGAAAGACAGGTAAGAGAGGTAGAGAAAGAGAGAGAGAGAGGGGAGAGAAAGAGAGAGAGAGAGACAGACAGAGGGAGGGAGGAGGCAGAACAGGGGAGGGAGAAGGGAGGAGGGAGAAGAGGGAGAGGAGATAGGGCAGAGAGGCATAATGACAGGGAAGAGAGGAGGAGAAAGAAGGGAGGAGAGGAGGGAGGAGGGAAAGGGAGGAGAAGCAGGAAGGTACGAGCGTGAACGTTCGAGGAAGTCCTTGGCGAAAGCGCCGTTCCTGAAGGAAGTCTCGGGCAAGAGCCCACGACGGGCGGGCGATCCCCTAACGGGCGGGCCGGGCGGGTGGGACATTCAAACGGGATGCCTGAGTATGGCGAGAGGGCGATTACTAAATATATTGTAATGACGTCCTTGGCGCAGCGTGTTTGCGCCGAAAGCGCGAATTCTGAATACATTGCATGTAAGTCACAAGCGAGAGCGCAGCTCCTCAATCAAATGTGAAGGGTTCTCTGGCGGGAGCAAGGGTCTTGATTGAATTGCGAGGAAGTGTTGACTCAATTGCGAGGAAGTCTGAAGCGGGAGCGCCGTTCCTGAGTAAAGTGTGAGGAAGTCTCAGATGGGAACGGGGGTCCTGATTAAATCCCACCAGCCCTTTGGGCGTGAGTGGTTTAGGGAGCTCTCTCTGTTCTCAACCCTCCTTCTTCCCCTTCGGGGGGGGGGTTACCCCTCCCCCTCCCCCCTCCCCCTGGGCCTGGAGAGGGCGTCTCGCGGGTGGTTGGAGGGGTCTTTTTCGACTCCTGGGAGGGCTAAAAATTCGACACCCCTCACGAGGATTCTGGCCCCGACGGGGGGAGGCAGAAAAGTGCTCGCCCCATCTGTGATCGATCGCCCGACTGATGGCCCCAAGATTCCTCCCAGACCCCTCCCAAAAAACCCCAAGAGGCCCCAAGAGGCTCCCCCGAGGCACCCAAGACGCTCCTGGAAGCCCCTGGAGCCGCCAAGAGGCCCCCAAGACGCCCCAAACGGCCTCCAAGAGGCTCCCAAGAGGCCCCAAGAGGCTCCCTCAAGGCACCCAAGACGTTCCTAGAAGCCCCTGGGGCCGCCAAGAGGCCCCCAAGACGCCCCAAAAGGCCTCCAAGAGGCTCCCAAAAGACATCTACTACTGCTGCTTCTACTGCTACTACTACTACTACTACTACTACTACTACTACTACTACTACTACTACTACTACTACTACTACTACTACTACTACTACTACTACTACTACTACTACTACTACTAATACTATACTACTATTACTATTACTACTACGAAGAAACCGAACGACTCAACCCCGAACGACTCACACCACGAAGAGCCCGAACAACTCACACCAGGAAGAAGGGCCCGAACGACTCACACCAGGACGAGAGGCCCGAACGACTCAAACCACGAGGAGCCCGAACGGCTCACACCAGGACGAGGGGCCCGACCGACTCACACCACGAGGAGCCCGAACGACTCACACCAGGAAGAGGGGCACGAAGGACTCACACAAGGACGATGGGGCCGAACGACTCACCATTCGTCGTCGACGTCGTCGTCGTCGTCGTCGCCGCGGTTGTGGTCGTCGTCGTCGTTGCGGTCGATATCGTCGTCGTCGTCGGGTACGTCGTCGTTGTTAGGATCATCGCTGTGGTCGTCGTCTCCGCTAAATCCTTCTTGCCTCCCACCGCTTTCTCTCCCTCCTCCTCCTCCTCGTCCTTCTCCCGCTCCCACCACAAGGAGGATGTACAAGGAGGCGGGAGGAAGGAGGAACAGGGGAGATATGCGGGGGCAAGCGGACACACGCCCGAAAAACACGACTGTCGGCATGC